GAGCTTCTGCAGCACCTTCACAAGAAGTTAGTTCATGTGCTGGCGGTCTGTAAGTGAGTGAGGGTGGCAGAGGAGCTTGAGAAGACTTTGCTTGGCCTTTCTCACAAGGGGCTTCTGCTGTGAGCAGCTGACCCCATGATCGGAAAGGCCTGGTCCTTCATTCTGGAAACAGTCCAGACCCCAGAGAGAAGTTCTGCGCCTTTCGTCTCCTCCCTTTCCTTTGAGCTCTTGGTGACTGGCAGTGAAAGGAATGGCTGGCTGCAAATGTTTCCAAAACTCTGATTTATTTCCTGCTGCATCTCCACAATCCGCATGAGGCCACATCCCAGCACCTTCACACAGGCCTCCAGTCCCTCCCTGCATGTCTGGGTGTACAGAGAGGCTCCTGGTCCTGCTCCTGCCCAGCGAAACTTGAGAGCTTCCCCCTGTACTGCCCTGGAGGGACTCCCCTTGACTTTCGGGGCAGGCCCTGCCCCATGGCTTGCCCCCAGCAGCATGGCAGTGGTTGGTGAAGAGTTCCAGCAGAACATCACAGCTACCCAAAAAGGGAGCTAAAGAAAAGAGACGCATATAGGCAGGGGGTATCACACAGTCACAGGCCCACCTGGAGTCCTGCAACCTCCAGAACTGCCAATGTTTTTGTTGGTAAATAAGATTAATTGACATCAAGGGTAGAGATTTAATTATGAAATATTTAAGCACACACTTAGTTCAGTCAATGGGATCTCAGCCAAGGCAGTGAGGTTTTCTCAGCACTAACGACAGGAGGCCAGAAGGTGTTTTTGCACATTTCAGAAGGCCAGGACCCAGCAGCCTGTGTTGTTTTGCTGGCACTCGGACTCAGTGCTCACCTTGCAGCACAAGCCAAGTCTTGTCGCTACTTTCTGCAGCACCTGGAGGAGGCACAATCTCTGCGTTTTCTATCTCAGGGCTGATTCAGTCCAATTTCAGTAACTAAGAGAGGAAAACCTGTGATAACATGCCTGTAGGCCCAAACGGACTGATATTAAATAAAAACTTTGATGTCACTGTACATCAATTCTGGGTATATGGTTTAGTCTCTGTGCTGGCTAATAGCCATGTGTTTGGGGGCACTGGACAGCTGCATTTTGTCTATGACTTTTATTATCTTTGTATCAAAGGACATGTTTCATGGCTTTGATTCATCTCCTGTCTCACTCTCTGTGAAAAAAAAAATGAAGCCTGCAAACCAGTGATCAGTTTGCTGTTGTTCTTTAAGCTAGGAGTAACCTTGCTCTCTTGGAGCCTACCCCATCCCTGGGTTGGCTTTTCAGATGAAAAAGAATACCAAAATAGATTTAGGAATACCCACACTGTTCAGAACAAAAGAAATGAGTCAAATGCTGTATTGTACAGAAGTGCCTGAAAAAAACCCACCCAAACGCAAAACTTGTGAGGCAGCCTCCAGCTCTGAGCCTGCAGCTCTGCCCTTTGGACACGTCTCTGAAATCAATGGGATGCACAGCAACAGCGTTCAATTCCAGGAGGATGCAGCTGCATTAATGCAGGAGGAAAACAAACAGAGAGGAGCTTGTCTGACAGCCCCCTGTGTGTGACTAGGAATCCTTTAGCAGCATGCCAAACACCTTTCAGGAAGGTGCAATTCAGTAATGAATATGCCAACTACTTGTGACAACTGTGCCATTCAGAGCTTCGTCACTCAGAGCTCCCAGATCTTATTTTCCTTAATATGTTTGCCTTGTGGATAAGATTGAACCTAGCAGTGCTCTGTGGCAGTCAGTGAGGTCAAATCATTCTAAAAAATATACCTTATCAAGATAATCTTTTACATTTTTATCACTTCCTTTTCATTTTTACATCTGGCTAACTCCCTCTTCAAATACAGAGATGGCAAACTAACTAAGTTAAGTGATTAAATCAAAGATCACCATGCCTCAGACAAATCATGGCCTATGAAACTCCTTCCGTCTGCAAATCACAGCCTTCCCCCTAGCAGTTGGTGTCTGCTAATATAAATCCACTCAGTCTGATTAAACGTGACTTTGAGCAGTGGGCGTTTTTGTGCTTGTCTTTATGCGTAAAGGTAAATGTCAGCAAAATGAGCAGAGCTTTGGGTGTTACTTATGTATGTGGTGAACCTTCTATACTTTCCCCACCAAGTTTATTGTAAGAGCTTGACTAGATTTATCAGCTTCTTTATAAGGAGCAGCAAGAAACCCAGATTAAAGGTTGCTAAGTTACAAAACAGATAAGACATAGGCGTATTTCCAAATTTATACTAACTCCATGCCTAAATTCAGGAGAAGCATAAGAAGCGGTCTGAGTTCAAGAATAGGTTAGCGTGTAAGATGGATTTCTCTCTCTATTTCTCTGCATGGCTTTACTTCCAGTGATATTTTAAAGGGGCATTACAGCATTCAGAACCTATTACAAGATGCCAAGTATGAGAGAAATAATGCCTAATACCCAGCATGGGGGCTTTTTAATGGTAATACAAATATTATGCAGCAGTTCCCTCCCCGAGTCAAGCTGTGCTTGCCTTGAACACAATCCTCCTACAAACACACACCAACATGTACATCCTGGGTGCACAGGCCCTCGTTACAATGCAGACAAAGTAGAACTGTCTTCACACGCAGATAACACAGACATTAATCCGGCGATTGAAGAAATGGGATTTTGAACTGTGCAAATTCAAGTTCAAAGGAGGGATCCTTCTCAGCATAGATGTCTTTGTTATCAGCCCGTGTTTAGCTAATAAACGGTTTATTAAAAGTGGCACGGCTGTGAGTGGCTTACACACACATTACTGGGGTTGGAGTGGACCAGAATCACAGCTTACAGCACCCGCTGCTGCGAGACACGGGTGGGCTGCCATGGGGATGGAGTTTTCCTATAGACAGCACTGCTTCAGCTATTTCAGCTCCCAGGTTTTATTTCTGTCTCTTGTTATTGGCAGGTGTGACCACTGACCCCAGCAGGAGCCTGTTGGTGTGACAGGAGTGCCACCAGGCACCTGGCTGGTGCTTTCAGCCCAGTGAGCCCCCTCACCACAGCTGCACCGCGGGAGAGACCAGGCCCAGTATTTTGAAATACATGGTAGAGAATTACCTCTGTATTTTTCAGGCCAGTTTTTGCCTTCAGACAGGCTAACCAGGGACATTTATCACATGATTTCCTTCAGGTTTTGCACAACTTTAATTGAATTCCACCTATGCATGACTTGATGACTAGAAAAGGCTCCTGAAGGGGCTGGTTAGCTGGGGTACAGAAGCACTCAGGTTGCAGATCTTTTCTCATGCCCTTTTCCATATGCAGGCACAGAGTCCAGCAGAACTAGACAGAGACTTCTGCTGCACCATATTGATGCCTCCAGGGGATTTCCAGAGGACAGGTCTGATAGGTCTTCTGTTTTCATTCTGGTAGTTAAACATAGGCAAATCACCTGGCTCCCAGACCATGGATGATGCTCAGCCTGGCTTTATCACCACTTAGAGCTCCACAGTGTGACGTCTTAATAAAACAGAAAGTTGTTAGTCCAATGCATTTTTTCTCTCCTTTTCTTCTTCTTAAAGGAGCATTTTCATTTACATGAAAGAATACCCAAATCCAGCCTGAATTAAGTCTTCTATTTAATTACAAGCTCTCATTTTTTCATCTGTTTTAAAGTGAGAGTTATTCTTATAAGAGGAGTGAGAAAGCATGAAGTAAGGCTTTTTTTTTTTTCCTTTTTTTTTTTTTTTTTTTTTTTTTTCCCCTAGCTGGGAGCTAAGAAGGTGCTTCAAAAGCCTTGGCAGGCCAGACAGTAAAACATGCCTTAATGGTATTCAATTATAACAAGAAAAAAATTACATGGCCTTAGATCATCTAGCAGAAGTTATGGACATTATTTGGCCTATGAGCTGTCTGCACCTCTTGTCTGTTAGGCAGACAGAAAGTACCAGGGACCAAAGCCCTGCACTTGGACACTGATTTAAGTCCAGCCCTGTCACAGGTACTAAATTCACTTTAAACTCCAACCACAGCGACAAAATGTTGGTCAGAAACAGTGTGCTTTAATTTGGAAATGTTTTTGCCAGTTACACTTCAGAATTTTTCCTGCTACTTTCAGATCAGTCCTATCATACTCTGTAAAGATGCATTTCCCATCAGATTTTTAATTTGTTTGACACAAGCTCTGAGAATTGCATTCTACAGAGAATGATTCACCTGGTCTTTCCTCTGTATTTGTAGGTCCACAACATCTGCACCAAGGAGTTTGTCACTTGATCTACACTTGATCCTCACTACTCTGCATAAAGTCAAATCGATAATGTTCTCTAATTACTGTTGCTATTTTTTTTGTAGACACATGCTCTATATTTTCCTACTGTTTCTTGCTCTAGACAAGATATCACTGTGAGAACATCTAGTAGACATTAACCCTGCTGCAAGACAAAGATTTGGAGTCATTAACCTTACAACTAGGTGCTCGTTTTTTCCTTCACGCATTTAGTGACATCTTACTGTCTCCCTACCTATCAGCTCTCAGCTGCAAAATCCTTCAATCCATGCTCCTGGAGATCTCAGTCACCCCAACAACCAGTGCTACCGTTTTAATCATTTCCACCCCATTTTGCACATCCTCTTTGGTGAGCAGATGAGAGAGTAGCCAGAAGAATAAATTTAAAGGGCTTTCCTACAGTCATCCTTTAATTATATTATGCTACCCCAGGCTTATTCTCTCTTTTCAAACTGAATGCCATCAGTGCCATCAGTCTAGGACAAGGTGCTGCCTGAATGGATGGTGATAATCTTTTGTGCACTTCAAGTTGTGATACAGATCCCACAGCATCTTTAGATAAAGATACCTGTTGATTGCTATGGGAGTTTTGCCTGAAGTATCAAATCCTAGTTGTCTATGCAGTGAGTCATGCTAACTACAGATGCCACACGCCAAAAGAATTTTTTCAGAACTTTGCGTTTAAATTTACCAGGTCTGGTGAATAAAAGGAAATATATTTGCATTGTTGGGAGGCTGTTTTATACATAGGCCTTTATTTGGAGATCAATTTATAGGTACAAGTTCTCCTTGGAGCCTGTCAGCTTGCTCCAATTTGTCCTAAATAGGAAGGAGTACAGTAATATGAGTATGGTCTCTTGAGTCTCCTGCTGGTCTCTGGAGATAAAGTAAAAATGTAAACACTGTAATACCTTGCAGGGACACTAGAACAAAGAGTTTAAGGACACCTCTGTATTTGGTTTATCTATATATCTATCGATCTGTCTATCTACATACCCATTCATGAATAGGTCACTCATTCATTCTTACTGAGGTGGAACAATAATTGAGGGGACAACTCAAATAACATGCTCAGAAGTGGCTGGTTTAGTGTTATGACCATCGTTTGGTCAACCCCCCCCCACTCAGAATAAAGTCCAGGTGAATTCTAGCAGGCCCAGATGACTTTTGACTGTCCATGAAAGTAAAAATTTCACAGCTTAAGTTGTTTTTGTAATGCTTGGACACCATAACAAAGTCTTTTCTACTGCCTTGGAAATAGGTATTTTCTTTGTTGCAACCTGTGCACATTGCCTTTTGTCCTTTCCTTAGGTACCTCCAAGAACTGTCATCTCCATCTTCTCTCTGCCCTCTCATCGGGTAATTGAAGATCTCTCTCTCTCCCTTCTTTCTTCCATATTTTTCTCCTAGGAAAAAAGATTTCATCTCTTCCCTGTCTTAGGCCCCAGGTCTCAGATACATTGCCCTTATCTGGGGCTGTGTAGAAGTACATGAACTTCAGTGAAACTTTGAGCCCAAATTTAGTCACAGAACCATACTGCGATGTGTATAGATTATTCTTGAATTACTTTTTTTACGTTTTTCTTTTTGCAGTTCTCCCTCATCCCTTATAAAATAACCCAGCAGCTTTTAAACCTCTAAAAGATCAGTAGAGTAAAATGTTAAAGGAACATTGGCCTTTAAAACTCCCTTTGCTTTATGCCCATCTCCTCTTTACCACTCCCTAGAAAAACTAAGCCTTTGTGAAGGATGAAATCCCATGGGATGGCTGATGCAGGGATTATGACACCAAATTTAATGGGGCAGCCGCTGCCACTTCTGAAGTAAGGTCTGCACTGCAGCTTTTTATAAATCCCACGAGGACCAAAGTCATTTGGGGCTGGATTGATTTTGATTAACTGTGCTTGTCTAGCTTGAATTTGATGCCCAAGGTTCAGTCACTTATGGTCCTTTCTAATTCATGGTCTTTCTAGTGAGTCAGTCAGCCTGCAGGTTGCCTTCCTATCCCATTGATTGCCGAGCAAACAGGCTGAGAGGAGATTTGCCATTTTTAGGCAGCTAACTTTAGAAGAGATGAATCACACGTCTCCAGTGTGGTGGCTTCTTCCTGCCATGAGTCCTGTACAAGTTGAATCCCCACATCCCTCTGCAGCTTTACTGGATTTTATGAGGTTTTCTGTAGGAATTGCTCCTTGCTGGCTTCAGGTGAGGGGCTGAAGTAACATTCAGTGCTACATTGGACCATGTATAAATGCATGTTTATGGAGCAATAACTATACTTCACATCCAAAGTTTCCTACCCAAATACACTCCTAGCTAGATTTTTATTTATAATTTACTATATCTTTAGAACAATCTCACAGTATTTATAAGTTATACTGAAGGCTACTGCACTTTGTGCACTGTAACCTAAAGACAGATTTACAGAGAGATTGGAACTCATTACAGAAAACAGAGCTGGAAGAACAGGAAGTGGAGAATGACTTCAACAGATGAAGAAAAGGAATAGGAACAAGCATGTATCTTTTCAGCATTAACCGTGATAAAATTGCAGAGACGTATTATAGCTGTGTTCTGCTTTCATGAGAGGGATGCATGGATTTAGCTTGTACAAGACTCATGAGAGGAAATTCCAAAAGACTACATTTTTGAAAGATCCCCAAACAGAACATTTGACTCCACGCAAACTGTGGCAAAATAGTGTCTGAGATCCATAGAAATAGAGTTTTTTTTAGACTCACACTAAATGGGGAAAAGAAACATTTCACTGCATATTGTTATATACAGCCTAATTTTCCACCTAAGGTACATTTTCAGACTCTGCCTACATACTCGTACTCCACTTGTTATGCTTCTGCTGAAAGCAGAGAAGCCACAGACAGACAGACAGACAGACAGACACTCTGGCCGTGCAGTGGGAGCTGCAGCCTGCCGGCAGGTCCCTGGGGCTTCCTTAGCAGGGAGCTACCGAGGGCAGTTGCTGAAATGCGTCTGCTGCACATGGGCAGCCGGGCACAATCCGCACATAATCAGGCCAGCAGGGACATCAGAAAGCCAAAACCACTGCACAGCATCTCCATAACAATGTCTAAGGCTCTGGTGGTTGCTAATGTTATTCTGCAGATGGAGAACCATGAGGGCTCTGGACCAGTGGGGAATCGGGGATAACTGGAAGTTAAAAAAAAGAAGTGATCTGTCAAACACGAGCAATTTGATCCAAGTGTGTGTGAGGAATAAAAGGCTTATATGAGTACGTTTGGTAACAGACAGACTGACTCAAAGGTTTAAATTCAACCTATAAACAGCAAAACTCTCACGTGTTGTGGTAATATACACTAGCTGGACAGCAGCAATGACCTCCTTCTTGCTGATGAAACAGATACAGGAGAAAAAAAATCCCAGCTCACTGGTGTTCACTTTCCTCTCACTGTCACTGCTTCAGCCCCTTCGCTGCTCCTCTCCACTATTTAATTAAAACACATTAATGGCAATGCCTATCAACTCACAGCTTTGCATCTGGCATCCGTACTTCTCAGACCGGCTGCTGAGTCAATCCGACAGATGAGGAGGGTGCCTTGGCTTCTGCCATCACTTAGCTGTGGCCTCCAAGTGTCTGCAGGGTGATGCAGAAGTAATGGGAGCAGCTCCCCTGCCAGGGCCTTGGGTGCAGAAGCTTTGACCAAGCACTCACTGCTTGCTGTGCCTCTGCCCTGCTGCCCCAGCTAACTTTTAAGCAGCTGCCCTTAGTCTACACACAGGCTGAACCACTGATGAACTTCCTGCTTTGCTTACAGCTGAAGTTAGCAATCAACTTTCTGTTTTTTTAAAGCTGTTTTTCACACTACTGTCCTGCTAAGGAAACTTATATATTTTTTCCCCTCTGTTTGCTTTTCCAAATGTAATTTGCAAACAATGCAGACCACTGTACTCCAGGGAAAGGTAGTTATGGGACAAGACTATAGAATTTGTGTATTGTTTTAAAAGGGAAAAGGAGGTCATGAGCAGTATTATGAGAAAAACAAGTAACAGTAGGTCTTTACATACTATTGGCAAAAAAAATCAGGCCCAGGAAGCCAGTCCTGAACTGGAGATGTCCCATGCATGGGAACATTGAATAAATAAAATGATTTTTCTGTTTTCTTTCTTTTTTTTTTTTTTTTCTTTTTTTCCTTTTTCCTTTTATTTATCTATTTATTTATTTATTTTTCTGAAAGTGTTCAGTAACACCAAATAGCTACTTATGTCCAAGTAAAAGTGATATAGAGGGAAACTAGCTCTGGTTGTTTTATTTTTCATCTTGAGCTGTCATGCATTAAAGAACTTCATATACATCAGTGAAGTCTCCTGACACCACTCTGGGCAAATGAGCATTGCATAACAGATGGGTAAAATGAGACTTAAAGGAGCTGAACAGAAGTGGCCTCCCTGGAAACACAGTGCAGCAGCCCCCTGCTCAGATAAGCATCCTCAGCCTCTTTACCTCTCCTCCCATTTGCAGCCACAGCATGTCTGCAGCTGGCACCCTGAGATCATTATGCTGGGGGACAGGCGCAGGGCTGTGCCATCAGACGTGGGATCTGCTGCCATTGCCCCCATGCCACATGACAGCGCATAGTGTCCAGCATCCTCTGCTCTCACCTTTGGCAATCAAAGCCTGTGCAGTGTCCATCAGAAACAAGTGTAACCTGAATTATCATCCTGGAAGAAATGCTGAGAACCCCACTGAGCTCTGTGATACCGTACATGTCACTCTTGCATGCTTTAGCTCTCAGGGTATTTTCAGTCCTACCGACTACGGCCAGCTGTAAATGTTTGCAGTCAAAACCTAAGGTAACTTCTGCACAACTCCTCCCATGCACTCAGTTATCCAGACAGTGAACTCAGTAGCTGGCAAAGGGATGTGTTTCACCGTGGAACTAGTTCAGGATGCTGCAGGATTTTTAAAGGAAGCCAATTCATTGGTCTCACTGCAACTCTTTGAAAAATGACATGGTAAGAAGCAATTCTCACTCACAGAGGAACCCTATAGCGCACTTGAAATTGAAATTTTGAAATAGCTATCAGCAAAAGCCATCTATCCAAAAAATGCTTTTTTTGCTTAATGTGCACTAGAAATACAGAGAGGCCAGTTCCAGTGGCAGTAAGGTAGGTTTGTCATCTGTACTGAACATCAAACTTCTCAGCTTGAGAAATAATTTCAGTCCTTTCACTCAGTGTTAGAGAAAATATTTAGCTCTGTGTATAAACCTTATGGAGGACTAAAATCTTTCACCTATAAACTGCAGAGATTGCTGGAGTTACTCCAGGGCTGTATTTAGTTCATTCTGTTCAGAATTTAGGACCTGCTGTTTTTTGGACAGCCCAGGTAATTGTTACAGCTGGAACAGGATGGTATCTCAGCGTCCCCAGCCTCAGCATGTCCTGCCTCCTCTTTTCCAGCAGCAGAGACCAGAGCATCCCTCAGAGCACTCAGAGATGAATTTGGTGTGGATCCCAGTTGGGACAGAGCACATCGGGGATGTCCCTGTATGTCCCGCATTTGTTTTTCTGGCAGGAAAGAAAAGGTCAGACCCCACCTGCCAGGACAGCTTCAGGAAATACAGCAGATTAGGAGGCACCTGGGGGAACCACCCTCCCCTCTGGCAGCACCAAGCAGCAAGGACAAATCCTCCTGCTTGGGAACTTTCTCCTCAATTTCTTCATTTCCTCTTTCCCCATCAGAAGTTACTGATCTGGCCACAGGATGAAGTGCAACTAAAGGCAGGGTCATTTTCCAAATACGCCAAGGTGAAAGCCTCTGTCCTGGAAAGCTTCAGAAGGAAGAGATAAAAAAGGGGCACTAGGGAGATGGTGTTAGCCAGGTTTTGCAGCTGGTGACCTGTAGCTCAGAGGTGAGATCCCCCTGGTGGTGATTTATGCAAGCTCATGATCTCACCCAGCCCGTTTTGTATGAGCCAGACTCTTCCACAAAGTCCCATCTCCATCACACTGGTACACCCATGTGGCTCCAAAGCCTTTTTGTAAGGGAGAAAACTGATTGTATGTTCACAGAGAAGAGATGTCTTCCTAGCTGCAATCACTCCTTGAGAAACTTGTGAAAAGAGCAGGATCAAAAGGTGAATTATTGGATGCTGTGGTAAGAACAAATCAGCTGGCTTTCTGTTAAGTGATTCTGTTGCTGCATATATACACGTGCTCACTCATAAAAACACACCAGCAATTGTATTTCCTTCCAAACAGGATTGTCTATGAATATATGTGACTCTATCTTGGATTAGAAAAATCCATTAGCTTCTCCTCTCCCTATAGGTGTACAGATACAAGGCTGTGCAGATATTCAGCTGTGGTGCAGTATACAGCAAACAAAATATGCAAATGAAATTATTATGTCTAAACCACTGCAAACTCGAGAGATACGTATCAGCAGTCCCCAAACTCCACGACCACCCTGGCTGAATGACTGCAACAGAAATTTTTGGACCTACTGTTACTAATCACTTCAATTTGCAGTCATTCCCTTAAAGTGATTTTAGCCAGATTAATCTTATTTCTTCTTATTATTAAGAGCATCTTTCATGCCGAGTGTAAAACAATAATCCACTTGTAATGCTCACTAGCCTTGGCTCTCATCAAAGAGACAGGCAGAGAGCTGTGGTTAATGGCAATAATGAGAGCCTGCTCGTCGGGTGGCCATTCCTGAAAGAGCTTTCTACCTGCTTGTCGTGGGACTTAAATCAATGATTTTCAAAGCTGCCCATATCTTTACAGTCATCATAGAGGAATCTCAGTCTATACCAATTAATGGCAACTGTGACATTTCATGAAATAAATTTCAATAATATCAGGATTTCTTGGAGAGACAAAAACCTGTGGACTTGCCTTCTGCAGCATGGCAGCCCCTGTCATTACAACCAACACAAAACCAGACCAATTTTTATCATTTCACTTCTTCCCATTCTGCCTGATTTTTTTTTTCCTGTATGTGTTGGAATATATGGATTTTGATGTTTTGAAGGCAGGATTTTTCCAGCTGTTACACCTCTTAATGGCTTGGAACCACCAGTGACCCCAGACTGCATGCTGTTCAGCCTGCTGTCTCTGAGCTCGGAAAATCCCTCATCTTCCCCCAAACAGTTGTGACCATGCAAATAATAGCAGTTGTTATGATCAGTCAAAAGAGGAAGAAAATCTTGAATTATACAATTTCCTTACATGAGAATAAATAAATGAGTGAACAATGTATAGAACCTGGGATTTATCAGACAGACTAAAAGTCTATAGCAGTGAAATCATTTTTATATGAGAAGCAAAGGCACAGATTTCCCAACAACACCATGCTTCAGTCGCTGTAACTGAAAGCCAAAGCTAGAAAATAGTCCAATGTTTCTTACCAGGGAATGGTGGGTATTTTTCTTGAGACAGAAGGCAAAGTGTTCAGCTAACAGCAGTGGTATTTAGCCTGTGAACACCTGTCATAGATCAGTTGTTTCACACAGGCCTGATACTACATATTTGCAGGCACAAGCTTTAAAGTCCATACAAAGACCTTGCAAGTACTTTTCTACGTGTCTTTGCTGGAGCACCCTGGAATGGATGTGCAGAAATATAGCCATGCTCTTGTGTAGATGAATTTGGAACAACAGAGAAACAACAGAGATTACAATAAATGTAGAATGTTTGCCCTATTTATTTAAATTAAGATTTCCTATTTTTTTTTTCTCAGCTCCAGTGTTCTGAATGAATAAGAAGCAGAGAAGCAGCCTTTTTTTTTTTTTTTTTCTACTCTGAGCTCTGTTAATGGCCATTTTAATGACTGTCTCCTCCAGTTTACAGCCAGCTGTCTAATTACAGAATGTCAATATTTATGAAAGCCCAGCATATACAGTGATAATGACACAACTCAATATTTATGGGGAGCACATTTTTTGTAAGTACCAACACTAAGTAATCACTGTAGCTATTGTCTTACTACTTCTAATTTCAGAAGACAATGAGCAAGTTTTCCTTGAAACTTAAATTCCATGGACCATCCGCCCCTTAACCTTCCAGTGCCTTCAGACCCAGCATGTGGTTGTAGCAAGAGAGAACTTCGACTCCTGATTCCTGATAAATCATGGCTGAATTGATGGGATAAGGGACATTTCTGAGATGCCGTGATTGGCGTGCTGGTGGCAGGGGGCCTGACACAAGGAGTGTCGGGGAAGGCACACTCTGTCTTTTGCACAATAGCTCTGTGATTGGAACAAAGTCTAGAGAGGGGGAGAAGAGGTTGGCAGAGCATCAGAATCCCTTTATCTCTCTCAAAATTCTCCTTTTCTAGCTAGCAAATTCTGAAGCCTCTGCTTAGAAAATTGCTCAAAACCAGAGGCTCTGCTTGATTTCAGGGCCTGTGATATTTAGCAGAGCAAAGTCATTCTAAGATGACTCAAATGCACCTACGCCGCAGTTTAGGTGGAATTCAGCCAGGCAGAACTGGATGCAAAAGCCTGTGAGGATGGGACAGGACAGACATCAAGGAGGGAGGGACCTCACTGGCAAACTTTGTTTCCATGTAATAAGGGAAAGATTGTAAGTTTGGATGTCAGAGAAGCTATCCCTGCCTACTGCTGACACATGTACTTCCATGTTCAGGTCACAATTATATTTACCACATAATTGCAAACAGAGGAGGAACTTCAGTTTCATGTCTTATTCAAGGGAAAACTCTCTCCC